TCTTGGACCAGGCAGGCTTCTGGACCAGACAAGCTCCTGGACCATGCAAGCTCCTGTCGCAGGCAAGCTCCTGGACCAGGCAAGCTCCTGGACCAGGCAAGCTCCTGGAATAGGCAAGCTTCAGGACCAAGCAAGCTCCTCGACCACGCAAGCTCCTCGACCACGCAAGCAAACCCTAAACCCTAAACCATGGACCAGGCACGCTCGTGGACCAGGCACGCTCCTGGACCACGCAAGCTCTTGGACCACGTAGGCTTCTGGACCAGGCAAGCTCCTGGTCCGGGCAATCTCTTGGACAAGGCAAGCACTTGGACCAGGCAAACTCGTGGATCAGGCACACTCCTGGACCAAGCAAGATCTTGGACCAGGCAAGCTCAAGGACCAGGCAAGCTCCTAGACCAGGAACGCTCCTGGACCAGGCACGCTCCTGCACCAGGCAAGCTCCTAGACGAGGCAAGGTCCTGGACCAAGCAAACTCCTGGACCAGGCAAGCTCGTGGACCAGGCAAGCTCGTAGACCAGGCAAGCTTGTGTACCAGGCAAGCTCCTAGACCAGGCAAGCTCCTAGACCAGGCAAGGTCCTGGACCAGGCAAACTCCTGGACCAGGCAAGCTCGTGAACCAGGCAAGCTCCTAAACCACGCAAGCTCTTGGACCAAGCAAGCTCGTGGACCAGGCAAGCTCGTGGACTAGGCGAGCTCCTGGACCAGGGAAGCTCCTAGACCAGGCAAGCTCCTGGACCAGGCAAGCTCCTGGACCAGGCAAGCTCGTGGACCAGGCACGCTCTTGGACCAGGCAAGCTCCTGGACCACGCAAGCTCTTGGACCAGGCACGCTCCTGGATCAGGCAAGCTCTTGGACCAGGCAGGCTTCTGGACCACGCAAGCTCCTGGACCATGCAAGCTCCTATCCCAGGCAAGCTCCTGGACCAGGCAAGCTCCTGGAATAGGCAAGCTTCTGGACCAAGCAAGCTCCTGGACCACGCAAGCTCTTGGACCAGGCACGCTCGTGGACCAGGCACGCTCCTAGACCAGGCAAGCTCTTGGACCAGGCAGGCTCGTGGACCAGGCACGCTCCTGGACCAGGCAAGCTCTTGGACCAGGCAAGCTCATGGACCAGGCAAGCTCTTGGACCAGGCAGGCTTGTGGACGATGCACGCTCTTGGACTAGGCAAGCTCCTAGACCAGGCAAGCTCCAGGACCACGCAAGCTCTTGGACCAGGCACGCTCCTGGACCAGGCAAGCTCTTGGACCAGGCAGGCTTCTGGACCAAGCAAGCTCTTGGACCAGGCAAGCTCCTGGACCAGGCAAGCTCCTGGACCAGGCAAGCTCCTGGACCAAGCACGCTCGTGGACCAGGCACACTCCTGGACAAGGCATGCTCTTGGACCAGGCAGGCTCGAGGACAAGGCAAGCTCCTGGACTAGGCAAGCTTCTGGACCAGGCATGCTCCTGGACCAGGCAAGCTCTTGGACCAGGCACACTCGTGGAGCAGGCACGCTCGTGGAGTAGGCAAGCTCGTGTACCATGCACGCTTGTGGACCAAGCACGCTCTTGGACCAGGCAAGCTCTTGGACCAGGCAAGCTCCTGGACCAGGCAAGCTCCTGGACCAGGCAAGCTTGTGGACCGGGCAAGCTCGTGGACCAGGCAAGCTCCTAGACGAGGCAAGCTCCTAGACCAGGCAAGCTCCTGGACCAGGCACGCTCCTGGACCAGACAAGCTCCTGGACCAGACAAGCTCCTAGACCACGCAAGCTCTTGGACCAGGCACGCTCCTGGACCAGGCAAGCTCTTGGACCACGTAGGCTTCTGGACCAGGCAAGCTCCTGGACCAGGCAAGCTCCTGGACCAGGCAAGCTCCTGGACCAGGCAAGCTCCTGGAATAGGCAAGCTTCTGGACCAAGCAAGCTCCTGCACCACGCAAGCTCCTAGACCAGGCACGCTCGTGGACCAGGCACGCTCCTGGACCAGGCAAGCTCTTGGACCAGGCAGGCTCGTGGACCAGGCACGTTCCTGGACCAGGCAAGCTCCTAGACCAGGCACGCCCGTGGACCAGGCACGCTCTTGGACAAGGCAAGCTCCTAGACCAGGCAAGCTCCAGGACCATGCAAGCTCTTGGACCAGGCACGCTCCTGGACCAGGCAAGCTCTTGGACCAGGCAGGCTTCTGGACCAAGCAAGCTCTTGGACCAGGCAAGCTCCTGGACCAGGCAAGCTCCTGGACCAGGCAAGCTCCTGGACCAAGCACGCTCGTGGACCAGGCACACTCCTGGACCAGGCATGCTCTTGGACCAGGCAGGCTCGAGGACAAGGCAAGCTCCTGGACTAGGCAAGCTTCTGGACCAGGCATTCTCCTGGACCAGGCAAGCTCTTGGACCAGGCACACTCGTGGAGCAGGCACGCTCGTGGAGTAGGCAAGCTCGTGTACCATGCACGCTTGTGGACCAAGCACGCTCTTGGACCAGGCAAGCTCTTGGACCAGGCAAGCTCCTGGACCAGGCAAGCTCCTGGACCAGGCAAGCTTGTGGACCGGGCAAGCTCGTGGACCAGGCAAGCTCCTAGACGAGGCAAGCTCCTAGACCAGGCAAGCTCCTGGACTAGGCACGCTCCTGGACCAGACAAGCTCCTGGACCAGACAAGCTCCTAGACCACGCAAGCTCTTGGACCAGGCACGCTCCTGGACCAGGCAAGCTCTTGGACCACGTAGGCTTCTGGACCAGGCAAGCTCCTGGACCGAGCAAGCTCCTGGACAAGGCAAGCTCCTGGACCAGGCAAACTCGTGGACCAGGTACGCTCCTAGACCAGGCAAGATCCTAGACCAGGCAAGCTCATGGACCACACAAGCTCGTGGACCAGGAACGCTCTTGGACCAGGCACGCTCCTGGACCAGGCAAGCTCCTAGACCAGGCAAGGTCCTGGACCAGGCAAACTCCTGGACCAAGCAAGCTCGTGGACCAGGCACGCTCCTGGACCAGGCAAGCTCATGGACCAGGCAAGCTCCTAAACCACGTAAGCTCTTGGACCAGGCAAGCTCGTGGACCAGGCAAGCTCGTGGACCAAGGAAGCTCCTGGACCAGGCAGGCTTGTGGACCAGGCAAGTTCTTGGACCAGGCAAGGTCCTGAACCAAGCAAGGTCCTGGACGAGGCAAGCTCTTGGACCAGGCAAGCTCCTGGACCATGCAAGCTCTTGGACCAGGCACGCTCCTGGACCAGGCAAGCTCTTGGACCAGGCAGGCTTGTGGACCAGGCAAGCTCCTGGACCAGGCAAGCTCCTAGACCAGGCAAGCTCCTGGACCAGGCAAGCTTCTGGAATAGGCAAGCTTCTGGACCAAGCAAGCTCCTGGACCGCGCAAGCTCCCGGACCAGGCACGCTCGTGGACTAGGCACGCTCGTGGACCTGGCAAGCTCTTGGACCACGCAGGCTCGTGGACCAGGCACGCTCCTGGACGAGGCAAGCTCCTGTACCAGGCAAGCTCCTGGACCAGGCACGCTTGTGGACCAGGCACGCTCTTGGACCAGGCAAGCTCCTAGACCAGGCAAGCTCCAGGACCATGCAAGCTCTTGGACCAGGCTTGCTCCTGGACCAGGCAAGCTCTTGGACCAGGCAGGCTTCTGGACCAAGCAAGCTATTGGACCAGGCAAGCTCCTGGGACCAGGCAAGCTCGTGGACCAGGCAAGCTCTTGAACCAGGCACACTTGTGGACCAGGCACGCTCTTGGACTATGCAAGCTCTTGGACCAGGCAGGCTCGTTGACCAGGCAAGCTCTTGGACCAGGCAAGCTCCTGGATCAGGCAAGCTCCTCGACCACGCAAGCTCCTGGACCAGCCACGCTCATGGACCAGGCACGCTCCTGGACCAGGCACGCTCCTGGACCACGCAAGCTTCTGGACCAGGCAAGCTCCTGGACCACGCAAGCTCTTGAACTAGGCACGCTCCTGGACAAGGCAAGCTCTTGGACCAGGCACGCTTCAAGACCAAGCAAGCTCCTGGACCAGGCAAGCTCGTGGACGACGCAAGCTCTTGGACCAGGCACGCTCCTCGACCAGGCAAGCTCTTGGACCAGGCAGGCTTTTGGACCAAGCAAGCTCCTGGATCATGCACGCTCTTGGACGAGGCAAGCTGCTGGATCGGGCAAGCTCCTGGACCAGGCAAGCTCCTGGACCAGGCAAGCTCCTGGACCAGGTACGGTCGTGGACCAGGCACGATCTTGGACCAGGCAAGCTCTTGGACCAGGAAGGCTCATGGACCAGGCACGCTCCTGGACCAGGCAAGCTCCTGGACCAGGCAAGCTCCTGAACTAGGCAAGCTCCTGGATCAGGCACGCTCCTCGACCAGGCAAGCTCCTAGACCAGGCAAGCTCCTGGACCAGGCAAGCTCCTGGACCAGGCAAACTCGTGGACCAAGCACGCTCCTGGACCAGGCAAGATCCTGGACCAGGCACGCTCCTAGACCAGGCAAGCTCGTGGAGCAGGCAAGCTCCTGGACCAGGCAAGCTCCTGGACCAAGCAAGGTCATGAACCAGGCAAGCTCCTAGACCAAGCAAGTTCTTTGATCAGGCAAGCTCCTAGACCACGCGAGCTCCTGGACCATGCACGCTCCTGGACCAGGCAAGCTCCTGGACCAGGCAAGCTCCTGGACCACGCAAGCTCTTGGACCAGGCACGCTCGTGGACCAAGCAAGCTCTTGGACCAGGCACGCTTCTGGACCAAGCAAGCTCCTCGACCAGGCAAGCTCGTGGACCACGCAAGCTCTTGGACCAGGCACGCTCCTCGACCAGGCAAGCTCTTGGACCAGGCAGGCTTTTGGACCAAGCAAGCTCCTGGACAAGGCAAGCTCCTGGACCAAGCTCGCTTGTGGACCACGCGCGCTCCTGGAACAGGCACGCTCTTGGACCAGGCAAGCTCGTGGATCAGGCACGCTCCTGGACCAAGCAAGCTCCTGGACCAGGCAAGCACCTGGACCAGGCAAGCTCTTGGACCAGAAAAGCTCATGGACCAGGCAGCTCCTAGACGAGGCAAGCTCCTGGACGAGGCAAGCTCCTGGACGAGGAGAATGGGGCGGGGTGATGGAAGGAGGGAGAAGGGGGCGTGGTGATGGAAAGCGGGAGAATGGGGCGGGGTGATGGAAAGCGGGAGAATGGGGCGGGGTGATGGAAGGCGAGAGAATGGGGCGGGGTGATGGAAAGCGGGAGAATGGGGCGGGGTGATGAAAAGCGGGAGAATGGGGCGGGGTGATGGAAAGCGGGAGAATGGGGCGGGGTGATGGAAGGAGGGAGAATGAGGCGGGGTGATGGAAGGAGGGAGAATTGGGCGGGGTGATGGAAAGTGGGAGAATGGGTCGGGGTGATGGAAAGCGGGAGAATGGGGCGGAGTGATGGAAAGCGGGAGAATGGGGCGGGGTGATGGAAAGCGGGAGAATGGGGCGGGGGGATGGAAAGCGGGAGAATGGAGTGGGGTGATGGAAAGCGGGAGAATGGGGCGGGGTGATGGAAAGCGGGAGAATGGGGCGGGGTGATGGAAATCGGGAGAATGGGGCGGGGTGATGGAAAGCGGGAGAATGAGGTGGGGTTATGGGAAGCGGGAGAATAGGGCGGGGTGATGGAAAGCGGGAGAATGGGGCGGGGTGATGGAAGGAGGGAGAATGGGGTGGGGTGATGGAAGGAGGGAGAATGGGGCGGGGTGATGGAAAGCAGGAGAATGGGGCGGGGTGATGGAAGGAGGGAGAATGGGGCGGGGTGATGGAAAGCGGGAGAATGAGGCGGGGTGATGGAAAGCGGGAGAATGGGGCGGGGTGATGGAAAGCGGGAGAATGGGGCGGGGTGATGGAAAGCGGGAGAATGGGGCGGGGTGATGGAAGGAGGGAGAATGGGACGGGGTGATGGAAAGCAGGAGAATGGGGCGGGGTGATGGAAGGAGGGAGAATGGGGAGGGGTGATGGAAAGCGGGAGAATGGGGCGGGGTGATGGAAAGCGGGAGAATGGGGCGGGGTGATGGAAAGCGGGAGAATGAGGCTTGGTGATGGAAAGCGGGAGAATGGGGCGGGGTGATAGAAAGCGGGAGAATGGGGCGGGGTGATGGAAGGAGGGAGAATGGGGTGGGGTGATGGAAAGCGGGAGAATGGGGCGGGGTGATGAAAAGCGGGAGAATGGGGCGGGGTGATGGAAAGCGGGAGAATGGGGCGGGGTGATGGAAGGAGGGAGAATGAGGCGGGGTGATGGAAGGAGGGAGAATGGGGCGGGGTGATGGAAAGCGGGAGAATGGGGCGGGGTGATGAAAAGCGGGAGAATGGGGCGGGGTGATGGAAAGCGGGAGAATGGGGCGGGGTGATGGAAGGAGGGAGAATGAGGCGGGGTGATGGAAGGAGGGAGAATGGGGCGGGGTGATGGAAAGTGGGAGAATGGGTCGGGGTGATGGAAAGCGGGAGAATGGGGCGGAGTGATGGAAAGCGGGAGAATGGGGCGGGGTGATGGAAAGCGGGAGAATGGGGCGGGGGGATGGAAAGCGGGAGAATGGGGTGGGGTGATGGAAAGCGGGAGAATGGGGCGGGGTGATGGAAAGCGGGAGAATGGGGCGGGTGATGGAAAGCGGGTGAATGGGGCAGGGTGATGGAAAGCGGGTGAATGGGGCGGGGTGATGGAAAGCAGAAGATTGAGGCGGGGTGATGGAAAGCGGGAGAATGGGGCGAGGTGATGGAAAGCGGGTGAATGGGGTAGGGTGATGGAAAGCGGGAGAATGGGGCGGGGTGATGGAAAGCAGAAGATTGAGGCGGTGTGATGGAAAGCGGGAGAATGGGGCGGGGTGATGGAAGGAGGGAGAATGGGGAGGGGTGATGGAAAGCGGGGAAAAGGGGCGGGATGATGGGAAGCGGAAGAATGGGGCGGGGTGATGGAAAGCGGGAGAATGGAGCGGGGTGATGGAAAGCGGGAGAATGGGGCGGGGAGATGGAAAGCGGGAGAAAGGGGCGGGGTGATGGAAAGCGGGAGAATGGGGCGGGCTGATGGAAAGCAGGAGAATGGGGCGGGGTGATGGAAGGAGGGAGAATGGGGCGGGTTGATGGAAGGAGAGAGAAGGGGGCGGGGTGATGAAAAGTGGGAAAATGTGGCGGGGTGATGGAAAGCGGGAGAATAGGGTGGGGTTATGGGAAGCGGGAGAATGGGGCGGGGTGATGGAAAGCGGGAGAATGGGGCGGGGTGATGGAAGGAGGGAGAATGGGGCGGGGTGATGGAAGGAGGGAGAATGGGGCGGAGTGATGGAAAGCGGGAGAATGGGGCGGGGTGATGGAAGGAGGGAGAATGGGGCGGGATGATGGAAAGCGGTAGAATGGGGCGGGGTGATGGAAAGCGGGAGAATGGGGCGGGGTGATGGAAGGAGGGAGAATGGGGCGGGGTGATAGAAAGCGGGAGAATGTGGCGGGGTGATCGAAAGCGGGAGAAGGGGGTGGGGTTATGGGAAGCGGGAGAATGGGGCGGGCTGATGAAAAGCGGGAGAATGGGGCGGGGTGATGGAAGGAGGGAGAATGGGGCGGGGTGATGGAAGGAGGGAGAATGGGACGGGGTGATGGAAAGCAGGAGAATGGGGCGGGGTGATGGAAGGAGGGAGAATGGGGCGGGGTGATGGAAAGCGGGAGAATGGGGCGGGGTGATGGAAAGCGGGAGAATGGGGCGGGGTGATGGAAAGCGGGAGAATGAGGCTGGGTGATGGAAAGCGGGAGAATGGGGCGGGGTGATAGAAAGCGGGAGAATGGGGCGGGGTGATGGAAGGAGGGAGAATGGGGTGGGGTGATGGAAAGCGGGAGATTGGGGCAGGGTGATGGAAAGCGGGAGAATGGGGCGGGGTGATGGAAAGCGGGAAAATGGGGCGGGGTGACGGAAAGCGGGAGAATGGGGCTGGGTGATGGAAAGCGGGAGAATGGGGCGGGGTGATGGAAAGCGGGAGAATGGGGCGGGGTGATGGAAAGCGGGAGAATGAGGCTGGGTGATGGAAAGCGGGAGAATGGGGCGGGGTGATAGAAAGCGGGAGAATGGGGCGGGGTGATGGAAGGAGGGAGAATGGGGTGGGGTGATGGAAAGCGGGAGATTGGGGCAGGGTGATGGAAAGCGGGAGAATGGGGCGGGGTGATGGAAAGCGGAAAAATGGGGCGGGGTGACGAAAAGCGGGAGAATGGGGCTGGGTGATGGAAAGCGGGAGAATGGGGCGGGGTGATGGAAAGCGGGAGAATGGGGCAGGGAGATGGAAAGCGGGAGAAAGGGAAGGGGTGATGGAAAGCAGGAGAATGGGGCGGGCTGATGGAAAGCGGGAGAATGGGGCGGGTTGATGGAAGGAGGGAGAATGGGGCGGGGTAATGGAAGGAGAGAGAAGGGGGCGGGGTGATGGAAAGTGGGAAAATGTGGCGGGGTGATGGAAAGCGGTGGAATGGGGTGGGGTTATGGGAAGCGGGAGAATGGGGCGGGGTGATGGAAAGCGGGAGAATGGGGCAGGGTGATGTAATGAGGGAGAATGGGGCGGGGTGATGGAAGGAGGGAGAATGGGGCGGGGTGATGGAAAGCGGGAGAATGGGGCGGGGTGATGGAAGGAGGGAGAATGGGGCGGGGTGATGGAAAGCGGGAGAATGGGTCGGGGTGATGGAAAGCGGGAGAATGGGGCGCGGTGATGGAAAGCGAGAGAATGGAGCGGTGTGATGGAAGGAGGGAGAATGGGGAGGGGTGATGGAAAGCGGGGGAATGGGGCGGGATGATGGAAAGCGGGAGAATGGGGTGGGGTTATGGGAAGGGGGAAAATGGGGCGGGGTGATGGAAAGCGGGAGAATGGGGCGGGGTGATGGAAGGAGGGAGAATGGGGCGGGGTGATGGAAGGAGGGAGAATGGGGCGGGGTGATGGAAGGAGGGAGAATGGGGTGGGGTGATGGAAAGCGGGAGAATGGGGCGGGGTGATGGAAAGCGGGAGAATGGGGCTGGGTGATGGAAAGCGGGAGAATGGGGCGGGGTGATGGAAAGCGGGAGAATGGGGCGGGGTGATGGAAGGAGGGAGAATGGGGCGGGGTGATGGAAAGCGGGAGATTGGGGCAGGGTGATGGAAAGCGGGAGAATGGGGCGGGGTGATGGAAAGCGGGAAAATGGGGCGGGGTGATGGAAAGCGGGAGAATGGGGTTGGGTGATGGAAAGCGGGAGAATGGGGCGGGGTGATGGAAAGTGGGAGAATGGGGCGGGGTGATGGAAGGAGGGAGAATGAGGCGGGGTGATGGAAGGAGGGAGAATGGGGCGGGGTGATGGAAAGTGGGACAATGGGTCGGGGTGATGGAAAGCGGGAGAACGGGGCGGAGTGATGGAAAGCGGGAGAATGGGTCGGGGTGATGGAAAGCGGGAGAATGGGGCGGGGTGATGGAAGGCGGGAGAATGGAGCGGGGTGATGGAAAGCGGGAGAATGGGGCGGGGTGATGGAAAGCGGGAGAATGGGGTGGGTGATGGAAAGCGGGTGAATGGGGCAGGGTGATGGAAAGCGGGAGACTGGGGCGGGGTGATGGAAAGCAAAAGAATGGGGCGGGGTGATGGAAAGCGGGAGAAAGGGGCGAGGTGATGGAAAGCGGGAGAATGGGGCGGGTGATGGAAAGTGGAAGAATGGGGCGGGGTGATGGAAGGAGGGAGAATGAGGCGGGGTGATGGAAAGTGGGAGAATGGGTCGGGGTGATGGAAAGCGGGAGAACGGGGCGGAGTGATGAAAAGCGGGAGAATGGGGCGGGGTGATGGAAAGCGGGAGAATGGGGCGGGGTGATGGAAGGCGGGAGAATGGAGTGGGGTGATGGAAAGCGGGAGAATGGGGCGGGGTGATGGAAAGCGGGAGAATGGGGCGGGTGATGGAAAGCGGGTGAATGGGGCAGGGTGATGGAAAGCGGGAGAAAGGGGCGGGGTGATGGAAAGCAAAAGAATGGGGCGGGGTGATGGAAAGCGGGAGAATGGGGCGAGGTGATGGAAAGCGGGAGAATGGGGCGGGTGATGGAAAGCGGAAGAATGGGGCGGGGTGATGGAAGGAGGGAGAATGGGGAGGGGTGATGGAAAGCAGGGGAATGGGGCGGGATGATGGGAAGCGGAAGAATAGGGCGGGGTGATGGAAGGAGGGAGAATGGGGCGGGATGATGGAAAGCGGGAGAATGGGGCGGGGTGATGGAAAGCGGGAGAATGGGGCGGGGTGATGGAAAGCGAGAGAATGGGGCGGGGTGATGGAAATCGGGAGAATGGGGCGGGGTGATTGAAAGCGGGAGAATGGGGCGGGGTGATGGAAATCGGGAGAATGGGGCGGGGTGATTGAAATCGGGAGAATGGGGCGGGGTGATTGAAAGCGGGAGAATGGGGCGGGTTGATAGAAAGCGGGAGAATTTGACGGGGTGATGGAAAGCGGGAGAATGGGGTGGGGTTATGGGAAGCGGGAAAATGGGGCGGGGTGATGGAAAGCGGGAGAACGGGGCGGGGTGATGGAAGGAGGGAGAATGGGGCGGGGTGATGGAAGGAGGGAGAATGGGGCGGGGTGATGGAAGGAGGGAGAATGGGGCGGGGTGATGGAAAGCGGGAGAATGGGGCGGGGTGATGGAAGGAGGGAGAATGGGGCGGGGTGATGGAAGGAGGGAGAATGGGGTGGGGTGATGGAAAGCGGGAGAATGGGGCGGGGTGATGGAAAGCGGGAGAATGGGGCTGGGTGATGGAAAGCGGGAGAATGGGGCGGGGTGATGGAAAGCGGGAGAATGGGGCGGGGTGATGGAAGGAGGGAGAATGGGGCGGGGTGATGGAAAGCGGGAGATTGGGGCAGGGTGATGGAAAGCGGGAGAATGGGGCGGGGTGATGGAAAGCGGGAAAATAGGGCGGGGTGATGGAAAGCGGGAGAATGGGGCTGGGTGATGGAAAGCGGGAGAATGGGGCGGGGTGATGGAAAGCGGGAGAATGGGGCGGGGTGATGGAAGGAGGGAGAATGAGGCGGGGTGATGGAAGGAGGGAGAATGGGGCGGGGTGATGGAAAGTGGGAGAATGGGTCGGGGTGATGGAAAGCGGGAGAATGGGGCGGAGTGATGGAAAGCGGGAGAATGGGGCGGGGTGATGGAAAGCGGGAGAATGGGGCGGGATGATGGAAGGCGGGAGAATGGAGCGGGGTGATGGAAAGCGGGAGAATGGGGCGGGGTGATGGAAAGCGGGAGAATGGGGCGGGTGATGGAAAGCGGGTGAATGGGGCAAGGTGATGGAAAGCGGGAGAATGGGGCGGGGTGATGGAAAGCAAAAGAGTGGGGCGGGGTGATGGAAAGCGGGAGAATGGGGCGAGGTGATGGAAAGCGGGAGAATGGGGCGGGTGATGGAAAGCGGAAGAATGGGGCGGGGTGATGGAAGGAGGGAGAATGGGGAGGGGTGATGGAAAGCGGTGGAATGGGGCGGGATGATGGGAAGCAGAAGAATGGGGCGGGGTGATGGAAAGCGGGAGAATGGGGCGGGGTTATGGAAAGCGGGAGAATGGGGCGGGGAGATGGAAAGCGGGAGAAAGGGGCGGGGTGATGGAAAGCGGGAGAATGGGGCGGGCTGATGGAAAGCGGGAGAGTGGGGCGGGGTGATGGAAGGAGGGAGAATGGGGCGGGGTGATGGAAGGAGAGAGAAGGGGGCGAGGTGATGGATAGTCGGAAAATGTGGCGGGGTGATGGAAAGCGGGAGAATGGGGTGGGGTTATGGGAAGCGGGAGAATGGGGCGGGGTGATGGAAAGCGGGAGAATGGGGCGGAGTGATGGAATGAGGGAGAATGGGGCGGGGTGATGGAAGGAGGGAGAATGGGGTGGGGTGATGGAAAGCGGGAGAATGGGGCGGGGTGATGGAAGGAGGGAGAATGGGGCGGGGTGATGGAAAGCGGGAGAATGGGGCGGCGTGATGGAAAGCGGGAGAATGGGGCGGGGTGATGGAAAGCGAGAGAATGGGGCGGGGTGATGGAAGGAGGGAGAATGGGGAGGGGTGATGGAAAGCGGGGGAATGGGTCGAGATGATGGGAAGCGGAAAAATGGGGCGGGGTGACGAAAAGCGGGAGAATGGGGCGGGGTGATGGAAAGCGGGAGAATGGGGCGGGGAGATGGAAAGCGGGAGAAAGGGGAGGGGTGATGGAAAGCGGGAGAATGGGGCGGGGTGATGGAAAGCGGAAGAATGGGGCGGGCTGATGGAAAGCGGGAGAATGGGGCGGGGTGATGGAAGGAGGGAGAATGGGGCGGGGTGATGGAAGGAGAGAGAAGGGGGCGGGGTGATGGAAAGTGGGAAAATGTGGCGGGGTGATGGAAAGCGGGAGAATGGGGTGGGGTTATGGGAAGCGGGAGAATGAGGCGGGGTGATGGAAAGCGGGAGAATGGGGCGGGGTGATGGAAGGAGGGAGAATGGGGCGGGGTGATGGAAGGAGGGAGAATGGGGCGGGGTGATGGAAGGAGGGATAATGGGGCAGAGTGATGGAAAGCGGGAGAATGGGGCGGGGTGATGGAAAGCGGGAGAACGGGGCGAGGTGATGGAAAGCGAGAGAATGGGGCGGGGTGATGGAAGGAGGGAGAATGGGGAGGGGTGATGGAAAGCGGGGGAATGGGGCGGGATGATGGGAAGCGGAAGAATGGGGCGGGGTGATGGAAGGAGGGAGAATGGGGCGGGATGATGGAAAGCGGGAGAATGGGGCGGGGTGATGGAAAGCGGGAGAATGGGGCGGGGTGATGGAAATCGGGAGAATGGGGTGGGGTGATGGAAAGTGGGAGAATGGGGCGGGGTGATGGAAGGAGGGAGAATGGGGCGGGGTGATGGAAAGCGGGAGAATGGGGCGGGGTGATGGAAGGAGGGAGAATGGGGCGGGGAGATGGAAGGAGGGAGAATGGGGTGGGGTGATGGAAAGCGGGAGAATGGGGCGGGGTGATGGAAAGCGGGAGAATGGGGCTGGGTGATGGAAAGCAGGAGAATGGGGCGGGGTGATGGAAAGCGGGAGAATGGGGCGGGGTGATGGAAGGAGGGAGAATGGGGCGCGGTGATGGAAAACGGGAGATTGGGGCAGGGTGATTGAAAGCGGGAGAATGGGGCGGGGTGATGGAAAGCGGGAGAATGGGGCTGGGTGATGGAAAGCGGGAGAATGGGGCGGGGTGATGGAAAGCGGGAGAATGGGGCGGGGTGATGGAAGGAGGGAGAATGACGTAGGGTGATGGAAGGAGGGAGAATGGGGCGGGGTGATGGAAAGTGGGAGAATGGGTCGGGGTGATGGAAAGCGGGAGAATGGGGCGGAGTGATGGAAAGCGGGAGAATGGGGCGGGGTGATGGAAAGCGGGAGAATGGGGCGGGGTGATGGAAAGCGGGAGAATGGAGCGGGGTGATGGAAAGCGGGAGAATGGGGCGGGGTGATGGAAAACGGGAGAATGGGGCGGGTGATGGAAAGCTGGTGAATAGGGCAGGGTGATGGAAAGCGGGAGAATGGGGCGGGGTGATGGAAAGCAAAAGAATGGGGCGGGGTGATGGAAAGCGGGAGAATGGGGCGAGGTGATGGAAAGCGGGAGAATGGGGCGGGTGATGGAAAGTGGAAGAATGGGGCGGGGTGATGGAAGGAGGGAGAATGGGGCAGGGTGATGGAAGGAGAGAGAAGGGGGCGGGATGATGGAAAGTGGGAAAATGTGGCGGGGTGATGGAAAGCGGGAGAATGGGGTGGGGTTATGGGAAGCGGGAGAATGGGGCGGAGTGATGGAAAGCGGGAGAATGGACCGGGGTGATGGAATGAGGGAGAATGGGGCAGGGTGATGGAAGGAGGGAGAATGGGGCTGGGTGATAGAAAGCGGGAGAATGGGGCGGGGTGATGGAAGGAGGGAGAATGGGGCGGGGTGATGGAAAGCGGGAGAATGGGGCGGGGTGTAGAAAGCGGGAGAACGGGGCGGGGTGATGGAAAGCGAGAGAATGGGGCGGGGTGATGGAAGGAGGGAGAATGGGGAGGGGTGATGGAAAGCGGGGGAATGGGGCGGGATGATGGGAAGCGGAACAATGGGGCGGGGTGATGGAAAGCGGGAGAATGGGGCGGGGTGATGGAAAGCGGGAGAATGGGGCGGGGAGATGGAAAGCGGGAGAAAGGGGAGGGGTGATGGAGAGCGGGAGAATGGGGCGGGCTGATGAAAAGCGGGAGAATGGGGCGGGGTGATGGAAGGAGGGAGAATGGGGCGGGGTGATGGAAGGAGAGAGAAGGGGGCGGGGTGATGGAAAGTGGGAGAATGTGGCGGGGTGATGGAAAGCGGGAGAATGGGGTGGGGTTATGGGAAGCGGGAGAATGGGGCGGGGTGATGGAAAGCGGGAGAATGGGGCGGGGTGATGGAAGGAGGGAGAATGGGGCGGGGTGATGGAAGGAGGGAGAATGGGTTGGAGTGATGGAAAGCGGGAGAATGGGGCGGGGTGATGGAAGGAGGGAGAATGGGGCGGGATGATGGAATGCGGGAGAATGGGGCGGGGTGATGGAAAGCGGGAGATGGGGCGGGGTGATGGAAAGCGGGAGAATGGGGCGGGGTGACGGAAATCGGGAGAATGGGGCGGGGTGATGGAAAGCAGGAGAATGGGGCGGGGTGATGGAAGGAGGGAGAATGGGGCAGGGTGATAGAAAACGGGAAAATGTGGTGGGGTGATGGAAAGCGGGAGAATGGGGTGGGGTTATGGGAAGCGGGAGAGTGGGGCGGGGTGATGGAAAGCGGGAGAATGGGGCGGGGTGATGGAAGGAGGGAGAATGGGGCGGGGTGATGGAAAGCGGGAGAATGGGGCGGGGTGATGGAAAGCGGGAGAATGGGGCGGGGTGATGGAAAGCGGGAGAATGGGGCTGGGTGATGGAAAGCGGGAGAATGGGGCGGGGTGATGGAAAGCGGGAGAATGGGGCGGGGTGATGGAAGGAGGGAGAATGGGGTGGGGTGATGGAAAGCGGGAGATTGGGGCAGGGTAATGGAAAGCGGGAGAATGGGGCGGGGTGATGGAAAGAGGAAAAATGGGGCGGGGTGATGGAAAGCGGGAGAATGGGGCGGGGTGATGGAAGGAGGGAGAATGAGGCGCGGTGATGGAAAGTGGGAGAATGGGTCGGGGTGATGGAAAGCGGGAGAATGGGGCGGAGTGATGGAAAGCGGGAGAATGGGGTGGGGTTATGGGAAGCGGGAGAATGGGGCGGAGTGATGGAAAGCGGGAGAATGGACCGGGGTGATGGAATGAGGGAGAATGGGGCAGGGTGATGGAAGGAGGGAGAATGGGGCTGGGTGATAGAAAGCGGGAGAATGGGGCGGGGTGATGGAAGGAGGGAGAATGGGGCGGGGTGATGGAAAGCGGGAGAATGGGGCGGGGTGATGGAAAGCGGGAGAACGGGGCGGGGTGATGGAAAGCGAGAGAATGGGGCGGGGTGATGGAAGGAGGGAGAATGGGGAGGGGTGATGGAAAGCGGGGGAATGGGGCGGGATGATGGGAAGCGGAACAATGGGGCGGGGTGATGGAAAGCGGGAGAATGGGGCGGGGTGATGGAAAGCGGGAGAATGGGGCGGGGAGATGGAAAGCGGGAGAAAGGGGAGGGGTGATGGAGAGCGGGAGAATGGGGCGGGCTGATGAAAAGCGGGAGAATGGGGCGGGGTGATGGAAGGAGGGAGAATGGGGCGGGGTGATGGAAGGAGAGAGAAGGGGGCGGGGTGATGGAAAGTGGGAGAATGTGGCGGGGTGATGGAAAGCGGGAGAATGGGGTGGGGTTATGGGAAGCGGGAGAATGGGGCGGGGTGATGGAAAGCGGGAGAATGGGGCGGGGTGATGGAAGGAGGGAGAATGGGGCGGGGTGATGGAAGGAGGGAGAATGGGGCGGAGTGATGGAAAGCGGGAGAATGGGGCGGGGTGATGGAAGGAGGGAGAATGGGGCGGGATGATGGAATGCGGGAGAATGGGGCGGGGTGATGGAAAGCGGGAGATGGGGCGGGGTGATGGAAAGCGGGAGAATGGGGCGGGGTGACGGAAATCGGGAGAATGGGGCGGGGTGATGGAAAGCAGGAGAATGGGGCGGGGTGATGGAAGGAGGGAGAAAGGGGCGGGGTGATGGACAGCGGGAGAATGGGGCGGGCTGATGGAAAGCGGGAGAATGGGGCAGGGTGATGGAAGGAGGGAGAATGGGGCGGGGTGATGGAAGGAGAAAGAAGGGGGCGGGGTGATGGAAAGTGGGAAAATGTGGCGGGGTGATGGAATGAGGGAGAATGGGGCGGGGTGATGGAATGAGGGAGAATGGGGCGGGGTGATGGAAGGAGGCAGAATGGGGCGGGGTCATGGAAAGCGGGAGAATGGGGCGGGGTGATGGAAGGAGGAAGAATGGGGCGGGGTGATGGAAAGCGGGAGAATGGGGCGGGGTGATGGAAAGCGGGAGAATGGGGCGGGGTGATGGAAAGCGAGAGAATGGGGCTGGGTGATGGAAGGAGGAAGAAAGGGGAGGGGTGATGGAAAGCGGGGGAATGGGGCGGGATGATGGGAAGCGGAAGAATGGGGCGGGGTGATGGAAAGCGGGAGAATGGGGCGGGGTGATGGAAAGCGGGAGAATGGGGCGGGGAGATGGAAAGCGGGAGAAAGGGGAGGGGTGATGGAAAGCGGGAGAATGGGGCGGGCTGATGGAAAGCGGGAGAATGGGGCGGGGTGATGGAAGGAGGGAGAATGGGGCGGGGTGATGGAAGGAGAGAGAAGGGGGCGGGGTGATGGAAAGTGGGAGAATGTGGCGGGGTGATGGAAAGCGGGAGAATGGGGTGGGGTTATGGGAAGTGGGAGAATGGGGCGGGGTGATGGAAAGCGGGAGAATGGGGCGGGGTGATGGAAGGAGGGAGAATGGGGCGGGGTGATGGAAGGAGGGAGAATGGGGCGGAGTGATGGAAAGCGGGAGAATGGGGCGGGGTGATGGAAGGAGGGAGAATGGGGCGGGATGATTGTAAGCGGGAGAATGGGGCGGGGTGATGGAAAGCGGGAGAATGGGGCGGGGTGATGTAAAGCGGGAGAATGGGGCGGGGTGATGGAAATCGGGAGAATGGGGCGGGGTGATGGAAAGGGGGAGAATGGGGCGGGGTGATGGAAGGAGGGAGAATGGGGCGGGGTGATAGAAAGCGGGAGAATGTGGCGGGGTGATGGAAAGCGGGAGAAGGGGGTGGGGTTATGGGAAGCGGGAGAACAGGGCGGGGTGATGGAGCGGGAGAATGGGGCGGGGTGATGGAAGGAGGGAGAATGGGGCGGGGTGATGGAAGGAGGGAGAATGGGGCTGGGTGATGGAAAGCGGGAGAATGGGGCGGGGTGATGGAAGGAGGGAGAATGGGGCGGGGTGATGGAAAGCGGGAGAATGGGGCGGGGTGATGGAAAGCAGGAGAATGGGGCGGGGTGATGGAAAGCGGGAGAATGGGGCGGGGTGATGGAAAGCGGGAGAATGGGGCGGGGTGATGGAAGGTGGGAGAATGGGGTGGGGTGATGGAAAGCGGGAGATTGGGGCAGGGTGATGGAAAGCGGGGGAATGGGGCGGGGTGATGGAAGGAGGGAGAATGGGGCGGGGTGATGGAAAGCGGGAGATTGGGGCAGGGTGATGGAAAGCGGGAGAATGGGGCGGGGTGATGGAAAGCGAAAAAATGGGGCGGGATGATGGAAAGCGGGAGAATGGGGCTAAGTGATGGAAAGCGGGACAATGGGGCGGGGTGATGGAAAGCGGGAGAATGGGGCGGGGTGATGGAAAGCGGGAGAAAGGGGCGGGGTGATGGAAAGCGGGAGAATGGGGCGGGCTGATGGAAAGCGAGAGAATGGGGCGGGGTGATGGAAGGAGGGAGAATGGGGCGGGGTGATGGAATGAGAGAGAAGGGGGCGGGGTGATGGAAAGTGGGAAAATGTGGCGTGGTGATGGAAAGCAGGAAAATGGGGTGGGGTTATGGGAAGCGGGAGAATGGGGCGGGGTGATGGAAAGCGGGAGAATGGGGCGGGGTGATGGAATGAGGAAGAACGGGGCAGGGTGATGGAAGGAGGGAGAATGGAGCGGGGTGATGGAAAGCGGGAGAATGGGGCGGGGTGATGGAAGGAGGACGAATGGGCGGGGTGATGGAAAACGGCGGGAG